AATGGGGAGCAGGGAACTGGGAAGGCAAGAAACCGGGACAAAGGGCAGGGAACTGGGAAGACGAGAAAGAAATAGGAGAAAATAGCAGAGGCGCCGATGGCAGCGACTTCAAGGCGAGGGAAAGATGGAAGGCTAGCTTTACTGTGATTGAGTTTTATTAATTGTCTTGTGACTCTATCTTAGGGTTTGAGTTTTTTTTTGGCTAAGTGGGTCAGGTCGGGCAGGTTTATTTTGTTTTCATGGGTCAACCCATGGGCCGACCCAACCTAAACTACCTCTTTTACCCAAAACCTGAAACCAAACAAAACTTTGCATAACCTTCGCATATGGTGTCCATTTTGGGCCCATAACCCCATTTCGAAAAGCTCCCGACGATTCTGGTTGAACTCACGCTTTGCCGTGATGTATGATGGATTTTGGCCATTTGAATTCGTTTACTGGGTCAAAACCGCATTTAAAGTATCTTAGTTTATTATTTTCAGTCTTTGTTATTTTCGCTTTATAGGTCAGCCCATTAATGGACTCCTGGCCAATAAGTTATTTGTTTTTAGCATATTTAAGTCTCTAAAAATGCCTCCTTGGTTTTTTTGATTGTTTATGAAATAAGAAAACGTTAGTTTCTTGTGTTCAATCCGTTTGAGTTATTATTATCATGTGTTTGTAGATTCTATCTACATCAAATTTTAATCATATATTTCATGAAATTCGCAAATTTATTAACTACACATTTTATCAGTTTTTGTCAAAATCTAATTTTATTTTCTACCAAATAGGGATTAAGTAATAGATTAATACTAGTTGATTGAATTGTTAATTTGGTTGCTGAAACCTTGGACGAATCAGGGACCAACGAATTTGATCGCTATACAAGTCAAAATGTTGAAAAAAAATAAACGAAAATGAACGTGGAGAATGGAGAGGCGAAGTGTTGGTTGAAGTCGACGAGAGGCAGAGGTGCGAGATTGAGGCGTGGAGAATGGAGAGGTGAAGTTGAGTTGGGAGTTAAGGCCTGCAACATTTTTCTCTTGGCTTCTAAATTGAAAGGCCCAAAATCCAAAAAAAAAATGTCTAATTTTTGGCAACATTTAAAAAACGTTGCGAAAAGTCTACCTATTGCAACGTTTAAAAAATATTGCGAAAAGTCTATCTTTTACAACGTTTAAAAATCGTTGCGAAATGTCTACATTTTGCAACGTTTATAAAACATTGCAAAAGATACATTTCGCAACGTTTTTTGAATGTCGCAAAAAGTAGACCTTTCGTCCAAAAAATTAAACTTTTCGCAACATTCCAAAAATGCTGCAAAAGGTATCATTAGCAACATTTATTTTAAAAATGTTGTCAAAGCTCAGTTATATTAATTGACTGCATCATTTACTTATTCAAATGTTGCAATAGATTCCTTTAGCAACACTTAACTATCGATTGTTGCCTTTTATGTAGTACAAATGACCATTTTTGGTGTAGTGAAAAGCTCATTTTCCACCAGAGGTAGTGGAAGAGGAAAAGGTACGGGGCAAAATGAAGGGCCAAGGTATGACAAATCTCAAATTAAATGTTACAATTGTCAAGAACTTGGTCATTATGTTTCAGAATGTAGAACTATTAGTAACCAAGTTGAGGTGAAAGCCAACTATACTTGTCAGAAAAGTGAAGTGGATTCCGCACTACTATTGGCTTACAAAGGTAAAGAGAGCAGAGAAGAACATTTGGTATTTCGATACAGGAAAAAGAAACCATATGTGTGGAAGAAAAAACATGTTTGTGGAGTTTGATGAATCAGTAAGTGGCAATATTACCTTTGGAGATGAATCCAAGATTCCAGTGGTAGGAAAAGGTAAAATCTTGATCAGCTTAAAAAATAGTATGCATCAATTTATCTCAAATGTCTATTATATGCCCAATATGAAGAGTAATATTTTAAGTTTCGGACAACTCTTAGAGAATGGTTATGATATTCATTTGAAAGATCATAATCTTTCAATAAGAGATCAACGAGAAAATTTGATTGTCAAAGTCCTTATGATAAGAAATAGAATGTTTGCGTTAAGTATTCAAAATGATATTGCTAAATGCTTAAAAGCTTGTTTTAAAGATTTATCTTGGCTTTAGCACTTGAGATTCGGACATCTTAATTTGGAGACTTAAAGTTGTTGAGTAAGAAGGAGATGGCGAAAAGTTTCCCTCTAATAAATCATGTGGATCAATTATGTGAAGGATACTTATTTGGAAAGCATTCGAGGAAAAGTTTTCCAAAAGAAACATCTACTAGAGCTAAGAAGCCACTAGAACTTGTACACTCGGATGTTTATGGGCCAATCAATCCAAGCTCTTTTAGTAAGAACAATTACTTTGCTCTTCTTATTGATAATTTTAGTAGAAAGACTTGGGTTTATTTTCTTAAACAAAAATTTAAAGTTTTTAGAACTTTCAAAAGGTATAAAGCTCTTGTTGAAAAAGAAAGTGGTTATAGCATAAAAGCCATGAGATCAGATAGAGAAGGAGGATTCACCTCCCAAGAGTTTGAGAAATATTGTGAGGAGAATGGAATTCGTCGCCCATTGACGATTCTATACTCTCCACAACAAAATAGAGTAGCTAAAAGAATCAATAGATCCATTCTTAACATTGCCCTCTGCATGCTCAAAAGTAAGTAATTGCCCAAAGAACTTTGGGCTGAAGCTGATAATTGTGCCTGTATCTGTTTAATCGATCCCCTTCTAGAAGTGTGTGGACTAAGACACCACAAGGGGCATGGAGTGGAAGAAAGCTCAGCATCTCTCACCTACGAGTATTTAGGAGCATTGCATATACTCATGTACCAGATCAAAAGCTATCTAAGTTAGATGACAAAAGCGAAAGGTATGTCTTTATCGGCTATGACTCTCTCTCTCTCTCTAAAGGCTACAAGTTGTATAATCCAAGCAAGGAATAGATCACCATAAGTAGAGATGTCGAGTTTGATGAAGAAGAAGGTTGGGATTTGGGAAGATTACGACTTTTTACCATTCTTTGAGGAAGAAAAACAAGAGAATGGAGAGTAGCAAGAGCTTATCAGTCCACCTCATCACCTACTCATGGAGATGCTTTCCCATTATCTTTACAAGAAAAAAGCTCAAGCAAAAGGACACCAAGGATAAGGAGCCTACAAGAGCTATATGAGGTAACAGAAAATCAGAATGATCTCACTTTTTTGTCTTTTTGTCAATTGTGAGCCAATAGGGTATGAAGAAGCGATGCTAAATAAAATATGGAGAAATGCCATGGATGAATAGATTAAGGCCATTGAGAAGAATGACACGTGGGAGTTGACGACTCTTCCCAAAGGAAAAAGAGCAATTGGAGTTAAGTGAGTATACAAGGCAAAAAGAACACTAAAGGAGAAGTAGAAAGATACAAATCAAGATTGGTTGCCAAATGCTACAACCAGCGGTCAAGAATCGACTATGAAGAAGTATTTGCCCATGTTTCTCATTTAAAAATCATAAGATTTATTATCTCTCTTGCAGTGTAAAATAAGTGGAAGATATTTTTCAAATAGGCGTGAAATCTACATTCCCAAATGGTTATCTTGAAAAAGAAGTTTATGTGAAGCAACCAATGGTCTACAAAATAAAAGGACATGAAGGTAAAGTCTAAAAACTAAAAAAGGCCTTATATGGGTTGAAACAAGCTCCAAAGGCATGGAATAGTAGAATTGACAAGTACTTTTAAGAAAATAACTTCACAAAATGCCCTCACGAATATGCCCTTTACACAAAGGTAAATGAAAAAGGAGATATTTTGCTTGTTTGTTTGTATGTAGATGATCTTATATTCACAGAAAATAATTAAAGTATGATCATTGAGTTTAAGAAGGCCATGGTTCAAAAATTTGAGATGACGAATATCAGCCTCATGGCCTACTATCTTGGGATTGAGGTAAAGCAAATAGAGGATTGCATCTTTATCTCACAGGCAGGGTATGTGAAAGAAATTCAATATGGAGGATTGCAAGCCTGTATGCACCCCCGTCGAATGCGGAACCAAGTTATTGAAGAATGATGAAGGTAAAAAAGTAGACCTAACACTTTTGAATAGTCTTGTTGGAAGTCTAAGATACTTGATGTGTACAAGACCAGATATCCTTTTTAGAGTTGATCTCATCAGTCGCTATATAGAGACACCTACCATTACCCATATGAAAGTTGCAAAGAGAATTCTTCACTACATCAAAGGTACGCTTGATTATTGCTTGGTCTATTCATCATCTAATGAATTCAAACTTGTTGGATATAGTGACAGCGATTGGAGCAGAGACAGTGATGATAGAAAGAGTACGACTGGGTATGTGTTTTACTTAGACGACACAGCTTTCACTTGGAGCTCAAAGAAGAGATCGATCGTAGCACTATTTACATGTGAAGTTGAATATGTTGCAGCTACATCAAGTGTCTGTCATGCGATTTAGCTTAGAAACTTGTTGAAGACGCTTGGAGTTCCACAAGAAGAACTTACCGAAATCCACGTTGATAACAAATCGGCATTGGCATTGGCAAAGAACCCAGAATTCCACAATAGAAGCAAGTACATTGATACAATATATCACTTCATAGGAGAAAGCATTGCAAAGAAAGAAGTGCAGCTAAAATATGTAACCTTCCAGGAGCAGATCGCCGACATTCTTACAAAGTCACTCAAGCATGACATGTTCCACAAGTTAAGAACTCTACTTGGAGTAAAAAAATCAAGTTTAAGGGGGATGTTGAGCAGTAAATTTGATTTTTGGACTAAATAATATGGGTTTAAGGATTTTGCCCATAAGCCCAAATCAATTAAAAAGCCCAACATACCTAGCATTTCTAGAAACATTATCTAAAAAAATCTATATAAATATCTACTAGAAAAATCTATATAAATATTAAAATAAAATATGGTATGATAAATGTGGAAATGTGTCAATAAGATTATGTGGTCTTATAAAGTATATCAAGAGAATTCTAAAAAATATATTGTCCAAATATTTGGTCTAAAAGTCTCATGTAAATATGTGGTCCAGGAATCTTTAGAAAATTGTGTGGACTAGACGTTTCTTGTAAATACTATATAAAGGGGTAAGATCCTCCATTTTGTAAAAAGCCAAAAGTGTGTAAGTCTTGAAGTTGAGAAATTGAGACAACTTGTCCCGAATCACACTATGGACCCGAAACAAGACGTGTGCCGATGGTAAATGCTGATTAGATCCCAGATCCACCACCAAGGCTAACCATGAGTTACTACGAAATATGCGACAAAATTAAATGTTTATAAAAACATAGTGCAATGGGCCCGAAATAGTTAATTCATATTTTATCAAAATGAATCATATCACTCAATATGTCATGCGGCTCTAACTCGTAAATCAGCAAACTCTTCAAGCTATCAATGATCAATATTACCTGTAAGAATAATTTTAGAAAAATATGAGTTGACAGTTCAGTGAGTGGAAGAGTTTAAAAATAATTATACTTTCTCCTTTAAACATTTTTACCAAATAACAAGTTCATATCGTTTAATATTCACAAGACAGACTCATACAATTATAGCAAAAAAGTGAGCAGTATTCTATTGCTTATTAATATCCATTTTCTCTAAAGAATACATTTCTGATTTTTCCTTCAATACAAGAAAATAACTTTGCTTAATTGCTTTCTTAAATATCTAGCACAAGATGTTCCCTTCGATGCAAGATCGAGTTACTTACACAATTTGATGATCTAAGAAGCCACCGTATTGATCTTCCAAGCATTGGGGAACGTCCCAATGAAACAAAGTTGCACATGGCTCAATGCCTACATAAAAGTAATTAGTAGAATACAAGGTACATAATATCTTTAGATTTTGAACTTGTAATTATGTATTAATTATATTAAAATAAATCAGTTTAATAAAGAAACAATGAACATGGGAACATAGTCTAACCTTCTTCCAAAAGTGCGTCTATTAGATCATTATAGTATTTGATTCCTTCTTTGCTTACTCCACCACATAGTCTACCTCCTAAAATATCAATGTTTATACACAAATGAAACTAAAAACAAGGAACATTTACTTGATAATAAACTTGGCAAGGTCATGTAAGAGACTGCTTCTCACTTTGTAAATGACCTCGGATTTTCGAAAAAATATTTTCATTTGTTCTAAAGATATCATTTTCTCATTAATAGTTTTACTGAAATTCTCTTTTCCTTTTCCATGAGTTTCGACATAAAAACTAGGCAAGTTTGATGAGGCTTTTGAGTCCAATTAAACATCATAGTCCTACTTTTTGATGTCGACAATAAAATCTGCATGTCCGGAATCTCCTCGCCTTTGCCTATTAAGGATTTTATAAAAGGACACTACATCCATTAAAATTTTTGAGTGGAAAACATTACTGTAGCCTAAATTACATTAAAAAAATTTCCTTTACAAATTAAGTAATGCAAAAACTCTACATCTTTGCTGTGCCACTATTGAAATAAATATCTCTTTTTCTAATTTTATTGTATATATATATATATAACAATTTTCTTTGTGGCTTAAATTCGAGTACTATCCGGTATATAGAATGGAGAGAAAAAATTTGTTTCTGCCTGTTTTTCCAAGACTGAAATATTTGACTTCAAATGCTAAAAATGTATCAACTCATTTTGAATGTTGTGCTCCAAATAATGGTCATGAATTTATTAATTCAAATTCTGGCGACAAAATTTTCTTGCACTTATACGATAAAAAGAATTATTCAATCTTTTAAAGCCGTTCGTTCAATTCATTTTTCACTCCTCTTATTAGTCGTTAAAAATTTTTTGAGAGCTTCATTTTGTCAACGACCAAGTATCTCAAGCCTCAGATTTGTGATGCTAATTTCTAACTACGTAGAGATAAAATATTTGAAAATGGATGAGTAAAGGAACTTTAAGGGGATGGAGGTCGGTTTTCTTAGAAATGTTGAGTTTTTATTTTGATATCAATTAGCAGAAAAGTGGTAAAAGTTTAAAAGTTTAAAATTTGGCACTTCAATTAACCATGAGGGCCTAGATAAATGCATCGCTTAATGCTTGAACTGATACGGAATTCTGATACAGAAAATAGTTAAAACGGGCAACCTTTTTTTCATTCAAAGTAAGCCTCGACTGAAATTAAAGGAAATATTCTTTCAATTTTAGTTACAGTTCCTTTTATAATAACTCCACTATATGAATTATCATCACCTTGTACGATGAAAAGTTAAATAGCTAACTGCATTCACCTTGAACATATTATAGTGATCGAGAGCGACGCACCCATTTGTACCATCCGCAATGCTATCTGCCACTCCAATTAATAAACATAAATGTATGCTAAACAATGATCGTTGGGTAAAAGATGTTCTTGTGTATGGATATATGAATACATGCATATGGGTCTACTACAGATATTTTTAATTTCATCTTAATGTATCAACTTTGTTAAAGGAGTAGCATAAATTCTTGTGTTGATTAATGCTTATATATAAGTATTGTGGTATTATATGCTTAACAAGCATCTGTAACTTACAGTGACTTATTTGAAAACATCAATCTTCAAATTTGAACTCTTGTTTGAAAGTTTCAGAAAGATGGAATTATTTGTTTGAACTTATTGAACTCTGATACAATATTAAAAAAAGATATTTTCATCTCGAATTGTCAACCTTGTTACGAAGATTAGCCTAAATTCTTATATGTTGGTTGACTATTTTATAATTTGTTCGATGTAAAATTATGTTGGAATCTATATTAGTACAAACACGTACTAAAAAACCAGAAAGAGAGAGAGAGACCAGGTTCATGCAGTGTCATATAATCCCATATACTTCTGCCTTTACCATCTACATTCCAAGCTCCTTCGATCTGCAGTATTAAATGTAAAGCCCATAAAATAAATTATATATCCAAGTTTTAAGAAGAAAACAAGAAAATCAAGGTACATGTTAATGAACCTTTTGACATATGTACTCACGCATTTTAATGATGGTTTTAGAAACTTTATTCTTCTCAACAACAATGGAATGTCTGATAAGGTATAATAGAGTTGGAAAATATTAACGAAGCAATAGTCATAGGCTAAAGAATTGTCCATTTTAGCATCTAATTCCACCACATACAACATACTAAAATATAACAATTACATACTTGATACACTGATGGTATAGCACTGAGGATAAACTCCCTGGAGATTTAGACCGTTTGCCCTCTATTTGGGTGGCATCCATCAGAATGAAGAGAATGACAAACTTATATAAACTAATATTACAAATAACTATTTTGATGATCATATAACAAAGGAAAAGGATTGAGTTAGTTGGTCCCTCGCGAAATCCCTTAGGTATATATGTGCTCTTGTATTCTGATGATAGTTTAAGCAAAACCTTCATTGTTCTCAAACATTAGTGGTATGTTTGATTAGGTGTACGTCATAATAGAGGACACTGATGTCAAACTAAAAATAATCTAAAATCTTAACCATTTTTCTGTTCAATACTGATTGATAAGATATACTAAAACATACTCTAAAATTTACACACCTGATATGCCGATGTTGCAGCACTGAAGATAAAATCCTTGGGAAAACTAGAGCATTTAACCTCAATTTGGGACGGATCCATCGGAGCGAGTGGGGTGAGATATTATAGTTTGATGGAGAGGTGTGTGGTAAGTCTTATTCATGCACTCTATTTATAGATTCTGAAGTTTAAATACTTAAATCATACGATTAGACAACAAGCATAAAGTAAATATAATCTTATGGGCAAGGTACAAGTACTTTTCTTTATTCTATTTAGAAGATAAATTCATGTATATGCAGGTTTAAGTTATTCTTTACTTCTTGTCATTACTTTTAAACATTTTCTTTGCTTTATCTCGAGTTAATTATGATTTTTCGCATATAGATATTTTTCTGTAAATGTTACAATTAGTAAGACAAACTCTATGTTTATTTAATTTTTAACCATGGAGAAGAATTTTTATTAAAGGGAAGCTCCTCCAATCGAGCTATTTGACAATTAATCAATGTCCTTCACGTGATTATGTAATGGTCTATATTCGACAAAAATAAAACTAAATAAAATAAAAATTAATCTTCTCCAACCCACCCCTTACCTATTCCAACCTTCCTCGCACTCCTACCGCACCACCGTCTGAGATAGAATCTGATAAGTGAATTTTACACATTTATTTATGCTTTTAATCTTGATAAATTATGATTAATTTGAGTGGATTGCTACCTAGTTTTGTGAAACTGTGTGATTTGTAGGAAAAGATTGAGGTTGAGAATAATTGGTGCAAAATGGGAGATTTTGAGCTTAAATGGAGATTAGTACGAACTCTTGAAGACCATTCAAGGTTACAATTAATCAATTGGAAGAAGTCATTGGAACAACTGGATGAATTCATGAGATAAAGGATTAAAATTTGATAAAGAGAAAGAATTGGGGCCCAAAATAGAAGTTTTTGAAAGTTGGAGGACTAAACTGTAAAAGTGATAATTAGGCTATGGGTTGACCTCAGTTATCAAACTAGCGGCCCACCTACTTAGGGATGACAATCAGGCTGAGAGGCTTGTTGGCTCACCCACTCGGCTCGCGAAAACGGTCCTCGTGGGCGGCTCGAGCTCATAAAAATAAGAGCTCGAGCACAAGCCAAGTGGGCTGGAGCGTTGTGCAAGCCGAGCCGCTCGTGGGCGAGCTCTCGTGAGAAGCGAGCCATGAGCCGCTCGGCTCGTATATTTAAAGTGACAGTTAACAGTCACAAAACTTAATTTAAAAAAAAAAATTCCCACTTTTATAAATAACCCCATTAATCCCCAATTTTTTTCATCTCAATTCTCAACTCTCTTTCTATCAAGTCTCAACTCTCTTGTCCAAAATAGCCTCGATTACTTAGTCAATTATCTACAATTATTCTCTTGTGGTCTTTACACGAACAATTATTTGGCACCGTTCCTAGGAAATAAAGTTTTTTAAACTGAATTTATAGATTAGTTATTGAATTCAACTCGGAATTGAAAGGTGATTGAGTGGATGACCAAAAAAAATGCTCAATCTCAATGTTAGTTTGCCTTTGAAAGTTGACATTATTAGGATTTTGTGTTGGTTGGGAAAAGAGACTTTGGCAATTGAAGTACATAATTTGATTCAAGTTGCACCGGTGAAATTGAGAATTATTAACACACACACACTCTCAAAAGCTGGGTATACGACATATGGAGTTGTGAGATAATTTTTAATTCTTGTGTCACATTAACCAGTTTAAATTTGATATGTACATCGAGGAAACATTGAATTGTTAATATCGAGTTAAGTATAATTATTATAGAGTCTAATTAAGTATTTAGTATGTTTCATTCTAGGGTGAACAAAGGTTCAAGTTTTGTATGTTTGATAAGTATAAAATTTATACTTATCTAAGCTACGAAAAGTAACTTCTGAAAGTATTATTATGAACTTGATATTTAAGTATTTGTGTTTTCGGATTATGTTAGGAGAAACGTCGGGACTGGGGTGAATATTTATTTTGTATTTATTACTTTCTAATGGTTGTTGTAACGCTTCAAATTCTTGGAACTTGAAGCGCTAAAAAAAATGGACTCTTACGAAGTGTCGTAGCGAAGTAGTAATATAACCCAAATTATTTTCAAGTTCTACAAGAAAATTGCTTTTAAAAAAAACACATGAAATTTTTTTCTTGATCGCTACACTTGTGCCACAATTGATTGATTCAGGGACAAATTTGATATCGAGTGATGATGTATTAATCTAGCTCGTGCAATAAATAATATAGGTATTATAAATAATCAGGATATAAATATACGTTAATGCATTCATATGTACATGGATTCACATAAAGATATAGAAAATTCGTGGATATGAATAGGGATAGTGATGTTCAAGAGAGATCACTAGCTACAATAAGTTAATTCGATTGTGACAAATATGAAAGTGGTGGAATGAATTGGAATAGATAAATGTTAAACAATCTAAGTAGCTTATTGACCTTATTGTTTCAACCGTATATAAGTGGATTATCTTGGTAATTTAATGTAACTTTAGTAACAAATTAAAATCCTGAATTGCTATTTGGTTAACAATTTAATTTAAATTCATTAGGTTACTCCAAAAATTTATGGTAAATAGTAGTTTTCTGAGACGATACTAGGATATAGTAAATTCATTTTGCAACTTTTTTACGATTGGTACACTTGTGTAATCACTTGCGAAAAGTAATGTGCAAAATTATTTA